ATAAATGTTTGATGAGAATCTTCATACAGGGAAAGAACATCTCAATATTCATTTATTGATGCAAAAAAATAAAAGTTATTAATGTAGTACCCTCATTTCTTATTGGATTCCTAAAAAACAATACTTATAACGATTTTTAATAATTTTTTTAATTTTTTAAAGCCGAATCCGGTTGATTCCTAATCCGAAACACCGATTCACCGATCCATATGCGTTTTTGGAGTGCTTGATCCGTGGCACCGATCCTTTTTTTAAACCACTAGGTATAGCCATTGCAAATAGTGTGGAAATGCAAACAATTTTCCATGGGTTACGTATTTTTCGTAATAAAAATTTGGGAAATTGTTGTGAGGTGGAAGGAGACTCATTGAATGCGGTCAAATGGTGTAGTAAAAAACAAAGGGTCCCATGGGAGCTGACGTCGATTTGGATGCAGATTATCGATTTGACTGTTGAAATGTCCATTTCTTTATTCATGTGTATAGGGAGGCTAACTCTTTTAGCAAACTATCTGGCTAAAAGGGGTGCTTCTCTATCTTCTATTTCTATTTCAGATGTTGTAATCCTTGTTGGGTAACCTTCTTTTTCAATAAAATCTTATAATATTTGTCAAAAAAAGAAGAAAAAAACATTTGGATTGTTAGTTTCCATTGTTTTTAGATGGAACACCTACTTGCATCCATCTTTGAGATGGATGCTACACTTTCTAGACCGCATATGTAGATATGCGATACAGCTCGCATGAAATAATTTTCCAACGAAAAATAGGCAAATTAAGAGCCTAAAATAGCAAAATTTTGAACTTTGAAGGTTTGAATTATTTTTATTTCAGATCCTAAAGATCCAAAAATAGAGAAATTTCGAACTTCGAAGGTCTACTTTATTTTTTTTATTTATTTCAGATCCTAAAGATCCGAAAATAGGGAAATTTCGGACCTTGAAGTTTCGAATTGTTTTTTTTTCTTTACTTTGGATTCTGAAGATCCAAAAATAGGTCACTTTTGAAAAAAAATTTCGGGGGATTGAGAACGGGTATGCATGTAATATCCAAAATCTTGAATGTAATAAGTGAAAATTTTAGGTAAAATGGTAATAACACTTAAAATATTGATACATGTGTATTTTTCCCTTAATTATGCTTTAAATATATTTTCTTATTTTTTATTATTTTAAAAAGATTTTGACTTGGCCGGACACTGTCCGACTCGAGCTCTTGGAGTTACTCTACTCGAGCATGGCAGAGGTCTGGTCGTGCTTTTGGATCCAGACAACGTGAAGAAAGTGGTCTCGAGCGACTACCTAATCGTGCCCTAAAAAAGTACTTTATTTGTAGGGAGGAGGTTTATATAAGATTGAGGCTCTAAACAATCAAATTATGATGTACCTAAAAAACTCACTAGAAAACTCACTAGAAGAGTTTATTTAGATGCTGAAAAGCCCTTAATTGGATCATCTAGACCTCAAGGTGTTTGAATATGAGAAAAAATAGATTTTAATTTTAAAAATAATGCATATTGTAATGCGATATCTAGGACATCAATTTTTAAGATTTTCAAGTATTCATACTTTTTAAATTTTATAATTAGAGATAAAAATAAATTTTCTATTACAAAGACTTCTGATATAAGTAATATCTTTTGGCCCTATTTAAAGGTCCGCCTTATTTTGATCGTTTAGAGCGTCAGCCTTGAACAAACCACACCCTTATTTTAATGCTGAGAGGCACGCTGAATTTCCCTTTGAAGCCAGCCTATCCAGAGCAGAGCAGATATCCTCTCTCTATCTAGAAGGGGAGCAGAGCTAAGATCATCTCTATTTCTCTCTCTCTCCGAAAAGCAAAGGCTTGTGTTCGTTATCAAATCATGACCGCCACTAGCAAGATCAAGTCTGTGGACTTTTACAGGTCACATTTCATCGCCCATACGTCGTCGATTCGTTTAGATTTCACGTTTTGTTTATCTCTCTAGATAGAGTAATGCTTGGTTCTATGTTTTCCTGTTCTTTGGGTTTCATGGCTTATGCTTCTCTCGATTGATGTATAATTGTTAATGGCGTTTTGTATTTGAAGCAAGAGGTGAGTCTTAATGCTGACTTTCTATATGAACTTTCGTTTGATTGATCCCCATGAAGGTATAGGATACATTTGATGGATGATCAAACAGTTGAACATTCCCTTATTTTCTCTGTGATTAACCTAGAAATGAAATACCCAACATGAAAGGTTGTGAATTTTGGACGTGTGATACGTCGACCATCTTCAGAATGATAGTAGGTTTGTACTGCTAGTTTTAGTGATCAATGTTAAATGTTGACAAATGCTGGTACTCTCTCACATTTAGATTGCTTTTATAGAAACAAATCCTGGTAGTCCCTCACGTTTTGATTACTTTCAGAGAAACAAATAAACATGCATTGAATTTCCTTTTGTGGATTTTCAAGATATCACGGAAGCTATCATTTTTTATTGTAGAAAAATTAGATTCATCTACAATTTAGTTCACCCGTTGTACTACTTTTGATCTTTCTAGCTCGATCAGGCCAGAAGTAATTGATGTGCACACTTTCTATGAATGAGGATTGCAAAACATTTTGAACTTATGCGAAGGCAAATCATTGTTACAATCAGTGTTTCAAAAAGCGCTAGGCGGCACCTAGGCGGTCGAGGGGGGGGGTCCAGGCCGCCCAGTGCCTAGGCAGGCGCCCAAAACCTAGGCGGCCCAGTAAATTTTTTTTTTTTGGATTTTTCTCTCTCTAAAATAGCTTCTAATGGGTTTTTTAGGTTCATTTGAAACCTAAAACACATAATTTTGCACCTTCAGAATTTAAAAAAATAATGACCCAAAAATGGCTCAATGAGCGGCATTTTTGCCCCTGGACGGGCCTAGACGGGTTCAGGCGGCCGCCTAGGCGGGCGCCCAAGGATACCCACCTAATTTGGCCGCCTAGGCTTGGGCGATGTGCACAGGCCTTCTGGACCGCCTCGGCGGCCGCCCAGGCTTTGGGCGGTCCGCTTTTTGAAACACTGGTTACAATCAGTGCTTGGAGAGTCGGCCAAGTGACATCAGACTCGGCTAACTTAGTCTTGGGGCTTTACCCAGCCGAGTTCGTGGGTATAAACTCGGAAATCTAAAAAAATCTTAGAATTTGTACTTTTTATTAAATCAATCTATAAAATTTATACTATAAATATGTTCATATAAATTTTTGATGATGATTTGTGAGTTTTTCTTATTATATGCTGTGTATTCCTATTTTTGCTTTTTCTTGGTTTTTTTGAATTGTTTTCAGGTATAAATCATTTTTTTCCCAAATTTCATCTTGTATAAAGGTTTTTTTTTCCATCTTTTGTAGACTTTTAATACTTTTGTAGTTTCAATTGCTTTTTAGTTATTTTACTTTTTTAAAAAATATTTTGCATTTTGCCCTTTTCGGCATGTACACTTCTCAGTGAGTCGACTTAGACTTGCCTCAAGCTTGGTTAGAGGCCAAGTGTCGAGCCCGAGCCAAGGTTTTAAACACTGGTTCAATGAGTCTGGAAGCCATCTTTTGTTGAATGGGGAAGACAAACTTGACTTTTGCAATACTTGAAATGCCTCTATCTATTTGGTCTTTGTACTTCTAGTGTTTCAATTCTTAGATACCTAGATGCTTTTATATTCTCCTGGTACAAGTGTTGACGACATGATACCCCACTAATTCCTATAATGTATACACATAGGATACTTGTAAATAGAATATTATGTTAATATAAAAGCTGCTAGATATCCTTATTTATGTTTACATACCTGTTTAGATGAAAAATAACTTTATTTGGAATAGACCATCTTTTCTAAAATTAATTTACTTTGGATAATATTATTTTGTTAGCTGTTTGTTATGTATGTCGTATTATGTATAACATTATTTAATTATTCAATTTTTTGGGTGATTTCCAATTGTTTTTAGCTATTATTGGCTACAAATATGTGATCAGAAAATTACTTTGAATAAAGTAAAAATAGCTTTTCGAAAAGATAAACGTATAGTTAAAACTACCTATAAGTTTATCTAAGATAACTTTATGATGGACACTACCAAACAACAGATAGTTCACTATCATGATTAACTTTATTGAAATAATGAATTATCAATGATAGCCAAGCCCAAATAATTAGGAAAAAGGCTCTGATGATGATGATGATGGTGATAAATTATCAGTGATAACAGGTACATCAAAACGGGCGTGTAATAGGTATATTTTAAGATGACATAAATGATCTATGTATCAGTCAGGATACTTGTTATTTGTGTCTCTATTGGGGATTTTGGAAAATTTCAAATCATATGCTCAAATAAGTATGCATATCTGTGACTTTGTATCCATATCTATGTTTTGGAAGTTTGATTAATATATAATCCTATTTAATTGTATGGGGATTTTGAATAAAAGAATGATAGTTCAGTATTTCGTGATTCCTCAGTGGTTTATTAATATAGTTCTTTCAATTATATTGGGTAAGTTAGCCGACCCCAATTATTTGGGAAAGGGCTTTGACGATGATGAATTATATTGGGTAAGTTACTACAAACTGAATGGACACATTCAGTGAATAGAATCGATGCACTTTATGGATTATGGAGACTTCTAACAAGAACTGTGTATTGAACTCCTGATGTGGAAAATGTTTGTAGAGTTTGATCAGTTTTTTGTTTGAGCTCTCATGAATGTTAGAATCATGTCCTGGACTCCATTTGCTTTGCAAATTTTCAAACTTTACCTAGGTGATGAAATGTAGCTAACAAATATGAGGCTATAGATTATAATGCAACAAACAGTAACTTGAAAGTCCAGTGTATTATGCTACATCATTTAACTATTATTGATTTTTTTCTCTGGAACTGCAGGAAAATTCCCAGAGATCTGACTGAGGCATCACTGTCAGGTGCAGGTTTATCCATCATAGCAGCATTCTCCATGATACTCTTATTTGGGATGGTATGGATTTAGTTTCATTTCTTTTCCTAAAGTATATGTTTTGACTTTTGTTTTCTATTGCTCAGTATGTCGTTGTAGGCCTCATGTTTGTATATCTCATCTGCATTTGATAGCTCAGTTTTTGAGAGTTTTTTTTTAGTGGTTTGTTGGCTTTGGATCCATTCAATTACTTTGGCATTTGGGTGTTCTCTATATTTCCCCCGGACTAGGTTTGCTTATCCGAATTTTTCTGTTTGTTGTTGTTTATGTCATATTTTTTTGTCTTCTCTGCATGCTTGTCTGCCAAATAAATGTTTTCAGGAATCTGAATCGCCCTTCCATGAATTAATTGAGAGTGTGAAATATGTGATTTGATGATTTATGCAAGTAAATTATGATGGCCGCATTTTGCAGGAATTGAATAGTTACTTGGCTGTCAGCACCACCACTACTGTTATTGTAGATAGGAGCATGGATGGCGAGTTCTTGCGCATGGAATTCAATTTGAGGTAGATATATTTCAGTTTATCGAATGTCTGCTGGTGGGTGATAGTCGGCCAAGGAAATTTATGGAACAGTTACTATAAAAATTATTATGAATAGTAATAAACGAATAATTATGATTTTTCTGGGGTATTATTGGAAACATCAATTTAAAATAAAAAAGAGCAAAGATAAAGAAAGGCATCTTGCCACTATAATATTTTTGTCTGGTAGTTTTGCCTCTATTTGTTGGGATATCGGAAGATATCATCCATTGCTTTAGAAAGTGATTGAGAATAAGTGAACATGATCTCAAGAGTTCAGTTGATTCAATTTTCTGGATGTGGGTTTTATTTGGTGGTGGTAATGACAAGTCGTCTTTTTCTTATACTGGAATGCTTTTGCATTTTTGCTTGATCTTTAAGTCAGGCTTGGAACTCGATGTATATGGTTAGTGACTCATGTTTATGTGTTTTAATGATGATCTTGCGGTAGAATATCTTTTGAATTGGCACCCCAGCAATTTATTTTACTTACATCTGTACTCAATGTTAGAGAAGTCTTTAACCTTGAAAATGCGAATTTTAGTTTACCTTCCTTTTCACTCCTGAGTTACCATCCCAATCCTTATTTCTACTGTCACCAGCTCCTGTAAATATCTACTTAGTAGTTGTTTAAGTTTTTCGAGTTCACCATGTCAACTTTTGGCCCTTTTCACTTTTTTGACTGTCTTCTGTAAATCATTGAGTTTGAGCATAAAGGTCAAGGGAAGTCAAGGTAACCACTTTCATTGGATTCTAAGACTATTTCTTTTCAAAATTGTTATCTGTTAAATATTTTTGGTATCCATCAAACAGTCGTCTGATCAGTGCATTTTTTACTTGCTAGCTTCTGTCATAGAAGACACATCTATTTCACAACATTCTCAAGTGATAGCTATATGACTAATACAGGGGCCTGAAGAGACTGCTTTTTTCTTAATCCACCCTTAATGATTGAAAATGATGAAAAAGTAATAATGTATGGACTTAGACCCTATTTACCTAATTCTAGTTTCAAAAAAAAAAAGCCCTATTTACCTAAATCAACTTATGGATGTTCATTAGGTTACTTGTTTTGTTTGCTCTGAGAGCATACAGATTTTCTTTATTGAGTTTTTATAAGTGTCATCATATTGGCATGTCCTGCTTCTGTTTTGTAGAGCTGTTAGCATGTAGTTGACTTTTCATCTAATGTGGTCATAACTTAGTAATTTTTTCTTTTGCAGTTTTCCTGCACTTTCTTGTGAGTTTGCTTCTGTTGATGTGAGTGATGTGCTGGGAACAGTAAGATTCTCTCCTCACCAAACCTACCACAGATTGTATTCAAACTTATAAAAGATATATAAAAAATGCTTAATTGATGAATGTATGTTGGTTGCCATAGGGCATAGAATTGCTAATATGCTAGGTTATTTTTGCATAGCCTTACCATTGACTAAGATCTCTTGATTCATAATGATGGGATGCTGGCTTTAGCTACTTGGTATGTAAACTGCCATTTTGTCCTTCTTTTAGCTATGAATGATATCTTTGACATCAGTAATTCACAGATTTGGAAATGAAACTCACTTCTCATGAAATAAATTTTTTTGACAGTATGATACAAACTGTTGGTTTTTTTGAGTAAGATGTTTCCCCCATTCGGATGGCAATTGTAAGATTCTGGTCTTGGATACAAAATTTAAGGAGTTCAAATACAACAATGGGAACTGTTAGAAATGTAAATCGTTGAAATAAAAATCACACTAAATGTATAGATATGTGACTTATAAATACGTTAGATAGTTATGTTAGTTTATAGTCCATACTTACATGTTGAACTATTGCTCAACAACCAATGTTGAACTATTACATGGAGCATGGAATTGATGATTTAGAATTTCGTTTATCATCGCTTACAAATAATCCGTAAAGAGAACAACTTGGTTATACAAATTGCCACCTGATGATGTTCTTGTAGTGGTATTCTTTATTGGCAGCCATGAAGAGAAAATCCGCTGCAAGAATATGGAAGGAAAGAACTTCACTTTCACTAAGCACCGAATTAAAATCTTCCAACTTTTGTCATGCATAAGAAAATTGAAATATCACAAGCTGTTAGATTGGCCTAGATGTGATATTTATATATAAGAAAATGCTCTCTCATCTATAGATATTCATACATAATAAAATGCTCTTCTCATATATGATGCAGGTGGTTAAACCATCAAAGCTAAATGGCTCTTCTCCTGCTGTAGTTCCACTAAATTATAACTAATTAAGTTTTGGATCCCAACCAACCCACTAAGCAAACGAATAATTACTACAATCGACATTCCTTCCGGATCAGAAACTAACCCACCGGGCTACTACAGGGTGACAAGCACAAGCATGGATATCAATACAACACCATTTTCTTATGGTCGTATAAAGGTCTCTGATGCTGTGGCGATGTCAACCTGGAACTTCTATTAATTTGAAAATCTACTTCTGGATTGTGTCTGCCATTTTTTGAATTAGAAATTTAGATCAGAATTCTGAAAAATGAGCATTGCATAAGACTTGATGCCCAGTCTTTGATCTGCATCTCTTTGAAAATGTTAGAGCAATTTAATTAAAATTAGAAACTTCTTGACATATTCCTAGGTGTGTGACTGAAACTTCTAGTTTCCTTATACCAAAGTTATGGTCCCGATTGAGGCCACCAGCTTGGTTGCGAGTTCTGAAGTGATTGTCTTCTTTAGAATGCTTCAGTTCATGAGTTGGTGTGTGAATGAAGAGAACCAATCTCTGATGGTTGTGGTGGTCCATTAGGCTGTGAGGTTGGTCCTTCTCAAGCTCATATGCCTACTCTAGCTATCCTCATTGTTTGCTGTTGTTTTTGTTCGTTTTGGAAATTTAACATCAAGTTACAAAGCCATACTAAGACGTGTACATTGGTGACAGGGAGAGAGGAAAAAGTAAGACTGGCTCGGTAGTTTAACAATTGTGAGAATGGACATCTTGTTTCTTTTTCAAATGATAACTGAAATTTCATTAATGAGATAATTGAAGAGTATATCACCCTGTAGATAACAGAGAATATAAATCAACTGACTTGGAGGTGCTGGGTTGCCTGTCTAACAGGACAAAGTGATGGAGTCCCCAACTAAAAAGGGTAAGACAACCATCCCATTAGCATGCCAACAAATCAGCTCCCAGCAGCCTTACTGACCTCACAAAGAAAATGTGAAAGGATGAAAAAAATGTCTGACAAATGTTAAAGCTCTTTGCAAGTACTCTTAAAAGGTGCCAAAAGATTGCGATGCATAGTGCCATCTAATCACATCAATGAGTCTCCCTGCACTTGAAGAGTGCCTGCAATAGTTAGGCTTTTGCTTACTATGAATCCAAAACTCCAAAGAGAATCAAGAATGCTATAGCTCCTGTCATTGTCCTGCAAAATGCAATCAACCTTTGGTGGACAGAATCGATGAGTGAATCACCACCAAAATAAGTGTTGTTATCCCTTACAGCAGTATGCTGGAATTTATTTATGTCTCTGGCACAGGCTCATTTGACAAAACATTCTCAATCTCTAATGAAGTCAACTGTCCACATGCTCTAAACTGGGATCATTGATTTATTCCTTCCGAACTGGTTTAATAATGATGATGCTTTTGACAATGTTGTTATTAATTTCTTTCCAAAAATTCCTCATAATACTTTTGACTGCTAAGTTTCTAAATAATTTGACTTCTTGGTGGGACTGGAAGTGATGACCTTTATGCGAAAAGCCCATACGTTGATTTAAGAATTATCCTATCTATAACAAGGAATTCAACAATAGGCTCCGTACTTTTTTTCTTTTTGACAATCAAGAGGTGATTGTGGATTGCCTCCTAGTGCATGATGAGCATGTGGGCAATCTGAGAAATTTGGTGTTTGCGTACTCTACTACGAGAATTTGGTATGAATGAGCCAACCACTTAAAGGCCTAAGCCCTGGGTCGGAGGAGACAATTCTAATGTGCAGGATATGGGATTGTTAATTGATCAGGGTTTCCTAATATTTCTACTGTGAAGGTTAGGGCCTTACTGGATGCGCCAATATATGCCATAAAACGAAGGCTTGGCACCAATGAAGGTAAAGCACCTGTTTCAAGGAATGGCTGAATCAATGATATATATGTTTTCCGCTCAAAATTGATGTCCCACTGTAGATTATGGCAGTGAAATCACGGCGTCGTACAGCCCGCGTGTTAAGACCACCAAGTTGGTATTTTATATGGGCATCCAGATAGTGAATATGTTCACAGGATGCTGGATCTCATGAACCTGAAGTTATGTATACATATTAAACTCTTCATTCCTGACTAATTAGAGGATCATCTTGTAGCTCTAACGCAGCCAGAAAGAGAGATCATCTTTATTATCTTGTAATATTACTGAATCCGTAAGCAGATTAGTGATTGTCCAAATGACACAGTCTGGTTTTGTTGTTTTGAATGGTATTTGAGCTATTGGCCTATTACTATTGAGTGTCGAATAGGTTGATTTATCTTACTTTTTATTTTTTGAATCCCGTTCATGCATTAAGGTTATTCCGTGCCTACTGTATTTATGTTTCATAATACAAATTAAACTGATCTATGCATCCTTTGATTCACAGAACAGGTTGAATATAACAAAGACACTGCAGAAATTTTCAATAGACCCTAATTTGAGACCGACAGGTGCTGAATTTCATCCAGGACCAATCCCAAAGGTGAACCATGGGGATGAAGTTGATGAAGAATATGGAGAGGGGTCTGTTGTCTTGAGGGGAGACAATTTTGACGCATATTCACATCAGTAAGTTGAAGACAGCCCTTAAATCTCATGCATGTCAAATTGTTATTATTTAGATCATGTGTCTTGCTTTGAATGGACACTCTTCAACATGGTAATCTGTGATTCTTTTTCTAACAAATTGTGCTAGAGTGTTTTGATTTTATCACATAAACCTATGTTTCTCAATGACTAAAACGGGAAAAAAGAAGAAGCTATTAGCCTATATTTATCTTTTTGTTTTGTAATTTCTAACCATAGTTAGTGGGATCTTCCAACAAGGGGTAGTTTCCCTCCTTAATCTCGTTCCTACACTCTAGGGAAGAGTATCTCGCTGCTCCGTGATTTTTAATCTTTGGAATCTCAATCCTCCCTACTAGGGATGAAATCTTGGTTATGGGGGTCCATGTGGCCTAGCATTGTAGCATAGTAATGAGTATAGCAGTTTGATATTTTATAGTAATATATACTATTAGTATAGAATATATGATATGGTTGTATATATTAAGTTTAAATATAGGAGCACATAGGTATAGTATAGATAATATAGTATATAGCATATAGCATTGTTGTATTGTATAGCAATATATTATAGTAGTGCTGTATAGTATACTAGTAAATACTATACCTTCGATGCCTTATTTTAATCAGATGGAACTCAGCCCTCTATAGTTTATCATTCAATCCTGATTAAGTCTGGATCGACTCCCACAAAATATTGGGATCAAGATCCCTAGATTTCAGGGTGTGCAGACCATAAATTCTTTTATTGAGCATCCTGCTTCTCACAATCCCAGAATCTATGGTTGTAACTTGTGAGTTGATGGTTGGTTATTTATATGTATATCCTTAATGGAAATGTAGCTTCTCATTCTATGGTTCATCAAACAGTTTAGAGTTACTGAGAGATAAAACATAACATTTTTCTGGTACAAATTTTTTGATAAGTAGTCTTTTGAACAGAACAAATTTTTTAATAGCTTTGGCTGTTTCGACTCTCTGACGTTCTAAGTGTGATTAGATCATGAAGTGAAGCTCCTGAGCCCTTTGGCCTGCAGGCATTTCATCCTTCCCATGGGGCAGCCATCTTGTATTTCTTTTTATATAATCAAGAAAAGTGGCTAGTCCATTACTAAGTAAATGCTAGTATGCCCTTTTAACTTTATAGTGTACTAACTGTGCAGGGATTAGTGAGTACATTCTCTTAGGGGCCTAGGTGAATTTGTTTGCTTTGCTCATTTAGTTCATAACAAGAAATAATTTCTACATGGATTCATACTAATCATCTAACTAGAGCAACTAATTTTGTCTTAAAATAAAATTTCATCACAGGCTTCTTTATCTTTTCCCATCTTTCCTGTTGAGTGGAAAGTCTGCACCTTCCACACTTCAAGCAACATACAAAATTGCAAGCCTTTTCAGTTGCCTCTTAGTTATGCTGCCAATAACTTGATAGCTTTATAATGAGCTGCTTCTAGTAAGAGATGCTTTGTGGCAATCAGGCAACACTTTCAGCATCTGTACTTCACATGCTTGAATTTGTGAACTATCAAAAAGATAAAAAAAAAACTTTGAATGGTTGAAGTTGAATACCCAAAGGGCCTGTTTGATAACTGGAAGCAAGTTCATGAACTGTAAATTGGAAGTTCCTCTTTGCTGGGAAGAAAGAAGTTACTGTAAGAAGTTCTAGGTTTTATGTTTGATAATCTGCTGGAATGTTAAAGAAGTTATGGGTTTCTGTATTTGATAACCTCCTGAAATGTTAAGTAAGTTAGTGCTTGTGTTTGATAACATGTTGAAAGACTAGGAAGTTTTGGGTATCTGTATTGGATTAGCAGTAGAAGTAATAGGCAAAATGTAAAATGTTAAAATTGAGACCTAGATATTATTTATTATTTATTAATTTTTAGAATTTTATTTTTTGGGATAAAATATCAATTGAAAGTAAAATACGTTGGATTGAGAGAGAGAGAGATGAGTGAGAGAAGTGTCCTAGAGAGAGATATATTTGTACAACAATTGAAGCAGATGTTGCATGATAAACTTCATTGCACCTCAAAATTGAAGCATTCTCTAGACAATATCAAGCACAACCTCAATTCAATATTATGTACCAAATCACTAGTTTCCTAATCAATATATTTTCTTGACTATTGTGGGTATACGATTTGTTGAGTCTTTTTACAATTATGTAGTGGAATAGGTGTTTAAATCTCATAAGTAGGTAGTCGATGACTTTCTTCTTAAACCTAATCCACTTTCTTTTTATCTCGAATTATTAACACTAATATCTTTGTTCTTTTCATAAACTACAATGAGCACGTGGTATTTATTTCTTCAAATTCAAAAGAAGCAAGAGCCAAAGGGTTGCAATGCAGTGGCTATGGATGCGGTTTGCAGTCCAGTTAAACCAAGGGAACCCAAAGAACTTATAAAGCAAGATTAGTGTTTTAAAATGCGGGATGCGGCCCTGATGCGGTGGGGGGCCGATGCGGCCGGGATGCGGGTGCATCGCGATGATGCGGTCAATTAATGTAAAAAAATTCGAAAAAATCTAAAAAAATAAGTTAATGCATATAAAAACAATATGAAGGTGATATATGTAATAGTAGGTATTTTTGTTTAATGATTAACTTCAAAATTATTAGCTGTCGGAGATTCTGTATCCAGTTATCCACTATCCCCTGAAACTAGAAACTTGAAACCAGCTTCATAAGGATTCAACAATCAACAACCATAAGCACAAATTTGCACCATAAGCACAACCATAAGAACAACCATCAACAACCATAAGCACAAAATAGTGATATTACAAAATACAAACCAAAAGTCAAGCTCAAGAAGAGTTAATAGTTAATAACTTAATACAATCGTCCATTTTGATAGTCAATTTTGAAATTTGAACTTCATTTTTTTAAATATCAATCAGACAAGTCATCTTGAGAGTCGTCATGTGCATCATCAATATCATCCTCGACGGCCTCCATGTATTCTTCTTCACCGGTCTCCTCTGAGTCAGCTTCCTCCTTGACCTCTGAAGCTAATGTGCGAGTGCGACTAGACCAGCAGCTCCTCTACTCCATGTGCTTTAGTGTTAGGTCGATCTTCTTCATTAACACCTGTTGTTAGCTCAACATCAAGCCACCTAAGATCGTCACCCTCAAACACACGCTCTTGTCTTGGATCCACGGTCCGCTCACTTATGGAATCACCATCAGCTTCATATAATTGAATAGGGTTGAGCTTTGTGCGTTTTTCATACCTCTCCCTAAGCCGCTTGTTATACCGCACATAAACCAAATCATTCAACTTTTTTTGCTCCAACCTATTTCTTTTTTTTGTATGGAGCTATGGTAGAAATTTGAATCAGATAAATTAGATTTTAGATTAGAAAAGGATTAAGGAATAAGAAGTAAAGGACTTACATGCTCAAATGCACTCCAATTGCGCTCACAACCAGATGAGCTACATGTGAGATTCAACACTCGAATAGCGAGACGTTGTAGATTTGGTGTCTCGCTTCCATAAAATGCCCACCATGCAGCTATATAATATTTTATAATTTACAATATAGTTAAAAATTAAGGGTATAAAATAAACAATGGAACTATACATAAAGTAAGAGACAAGTAAGATTTGGCCTTTACCTGGATCTGTAGTGTCCCTATTTCGAGTGGCAATATCTCTCCCAAAGTTTTCGAAGGCTAACTTGAACTTAATCAACTCATGGTTCTGGATCTCATCCTTGATATCTTTGTCTGGCACCAACCTCTCCAGCACATCTAAGAACCCACCATTTATTTCACGATCTGACTCAATGGATGGGTGCTTGTAGTGAAGAGATGGGTTTAGAAAATAACCGGTTGAATGGAGGTGCATGTGAAGCTGGGTATCCCATCTCCTATCAATAATTTCAAGCATAGCCTTGCGCATAGTTTCATCATCCTTTAAAACATCTTTTATTTCAGTTCTTGTCCTAGTCATTGCTTCATGTATGTAGCCCATGGCGGGCTTAGCATCACCATCAACCAGTCGAAGCACTCTCACTAAAGGGCGAGCCACCTCCAATGCAATAATTATTTGATTCCAAAAAGATGTATTCAAAATAATATTTTCAGCCTTTCTCCCATCCTTATGCTTTGACCATTTGCTTTGACTCCATTGCTCTGAAGCAAACATGGTCCTCAAGGCACTTTTTTGCTAGGCTTCGAAGAGTGAGAAGTGACATGGCAAATCTAGTGATACCCGGTCTCACTAATTCTCTCTTCTTTGTAAAAGACCTCATCATGCTTAGGACTATGGTGTGATTGTAAATAAATCCAACAACAAACATAGCTTTTGAAATCACCGCACTAAATAAAGATGTTGTACCCATTTCTTTAAGCGTAAGATTAACACAGTGAGCTGCACAAGGTGTCCAAAACATATGCTTCTTTTTCTAAGTCAAGAAATGCCCAGCTGCAGCATAGTTAGCACCATTGTCAGTGATAATTTGTACCACATTTTGCTCCTCAACAAAATCGACAATCTCATTTATCAAGCCAGATAAGTATATACCATCATGTGACTTGTCTGATGCATCAATAGACTTAACAAAAAAAGTACCCGTTGGGCAGTTAACCAAAAAATTAATGAATGCCTTTGATTTTCCATCGGACCAACTATCAAACATAATAGTAGCCCCATATTTCTCCCATCCTTCTCTCTGAGAAATCAAAATTTTATTCACATCAAATACAACATCCTTCAACAAGGGCTCCTTAACCTCATGTAGTGAAGGAGGAATAAATCTTGAGCTATATTGCCCAATTGCCTGGACCTTACATACAAAACTATCTAGAGTTATAGTATTAAAAGGAATGCCGGCCATGTAAATACACTTTGTAATTCCACTTACATACCGACTTCCTTTGTTCTTTCTTATATTTATTGTCAATTGTGGTTTGTTTTGTTTTTTTCTCTCTCCTGAACCACAATTTCGGGGCTAGGGGTGAAAAAAGAATCCATTGGCCCCTTAGAGAGAG